GCCGACGCTCGATAGGTTTTCTAATCATTGCCGTGCTTTGAGTTTGGATTGGATAGAATTGATGTAAACTCTTACGGACTCTCAATGGGCAAGAATTTCTCAAGCCCACTTTCGCTTATTGATTAGCGGCAGAATTTCTTTTGCTCGTACCTGTTTGTGTTGATTCGTGGCAAGACACTGCTTGACTATGTCCTCATTTGCAAGTTTTGCGGTAGAAAGGTATTTGGCTTTCCTTTTACAAGTTGGGTTTGGGTGCTTGTTTCAAAGGAAAGAATACTTACACGCTCACCCTACACCCACACTCCGATTTCATTTCTGTCTCAATTTTTTAAAATTAATACTGCAGTCATACGTCCGTTATGTTTATGATATTTAATAAACTCGAAGATCTATATAAGAATCATTATAATAAGTTACTTACCGGGATGCAATAATCAAAACAAAATTTTCCAACAAAATGTCAGTGGCGATAATTTCCAACTTTATTGAGTGTTTTGTATGCGAGACGGCTTGTTTGTTTGTCGAAGGTCTCTTTTGTTAGTTGTGCACGATAAAAACACTTTACATATCTTATCTTTCTTCTTTCTACGTCGTTTTTTTAAATTCTTGTCAACTTAGCACTTTCTTTAAGAGGACTGTGCATGATAACAGTAAAATATACAACATGGAGAATAGACGAAGAATAATGGGGAAAAAAGAAAAAGAAATACATTTCAAATGGACTACACACGTCGATATTCATTTGTGTATGATCGGATGTTGGTGGCATTTTTCAAAAACAGACGATAATAAGCAATGGTAAATTTTGTTTAGTATTAATTAGAAAATGTAATTATCGAGAATATTAACAGAAAACGGTTATTCTAAAAATGCATTCAGATTTCTATTTCGTTCTTCAATAGATGAAACTTACATTAACATGAAGTAGAAACAACTTTTCTGTAAGATGATATGACTATTGATAGTTTTTTGACATAATAATGACTCTTCGAACTAGATAGAAATTTTAGAAAATCTAAAATATTTATCTTATTTCTCAGATACGGAAAAGAAAGAAACTGAAAGACGTTGTACTTGTTGTTCGTCATTTGAGTGTGAACTTAATAAACTTATTTATGCTACGAGACGAATATTTTTTAAAATTGATTTAAATGTTTTGCTATGTAATGTATGTGAGAACAATCAGTATTTCAAGATAGTCCCATATGAATAAAAAAAATCGAAATTGAAGACATACTATTCTAAATTCTAATGAGTTTAACTCAAATCTTACTGAAAGTACTCTCTCAGATGCTGAAGAATAAGAAAAAAATTTTAAAACAAGTAACAATATAGACATATCCTGCACATTTTCTTTTGGTGGCATCTCAAAATGAAAAGAAACTGATTCGGATGAAATTCGAGATTAAGTGAAACGCGAGCAATTTTGCTAATCATTTATTGTTGCCATTGTGTATCGTCATCAAGTGGTACTTTTTATTTCTATTATTATAATATATTATGTAGGATTGGACTTGTTTAACTATTTAATCTGTAACATAATTCATATAAATAATAATTTCAATTAGATATACAAGAGGTTGATGTTGATTTTTCTTCTAAGCTTTAAAAATGAAAATCATATTTCTGTCTTTTGAATTATTTCAATTTTTTAAGTCAAATAATTAAATGCACTAAATATTTTCATTTCGACTTGAAAATATATTTTTTTAAAATTTGAATACAATCGGAAAAGATAGAGAAGCATTATTGATGTAGGAAAAATAGACAAAATAATTATTTAACCTCAAAACAGAACTGTAAAGTAAGATTCTCATTTGAACTTCAGGGTAAAGATATAGTATCAAAGATATCTGATATGGTTTTTAATGTTTCATTTGAAGAGACTCATGATGACGGTTCTTGCATATGTTCATTTTTAAGAATTTTGACTACTGAATCTGTTGCATGCTGAAGAATTAACAGGAGAATACAAGTTTCTTCACATGAGTTATTATTATATTTGTTTTGTGCTTTCGTCTCGTATACATATTTTTTCAAACTTTGAATCGACTTCCATAATTTTCTTATTCTATCATGTTCCTTTCACTCTATTTGTTTTTGTTTTAGGTTGACTAATTTGACTTTTCATTTTCATACTGATCACATAAATCCTATTACTTTCTGCAAAATGAAAACCGCAAATCGAACGTATCGATATTTACGGAATTGCAACCGATACGATAATGAATTCATTAACATCCATCGAGATCCATTTGAATTTACTGGACTTCGCCAGACTACAGAAAACACTTTTTGTTTTAGAACATTTCAATACTATATCTTTAAGTACTAAGAAGTCATGAATTCTTAGTTTCACAAGACTGCTGTATATCAATGAGCATCCTTTCATAATCTGATCCAATCTGGTGAATTTCTTAGATATTTATGAACTGTAGTAAGCTCTGAAATATATTTCGGCCCAGTAGAATTCATTAAAATTTTGTATCTATTCATTGATTTTTTCCAAATCATAAAGCATTCATACTTATGACGAAAGCGTATTTTAAAATACGAATGAGTGTGAAGAGCACAACACTTCATAAGATAAATATTGCCATTATTTAAACTTCTAGAAATTTTTTGAAAAAAAAAGTTATCTTCTTCTGTATGAGGATTCAGAAAAACCTATGTAATATTCTTGAACCTCATCATAAAGTCAATAAACTATAATGCACTCGAGAATGAGCACTTTGCTCTATCTAATGAGTTATAAATCACGAAATCGATAAGCTCGATCGAAGTTGTCTTTTTCTGACGAGGAGATGTCCCTTAATATGTTTTAGAAACGAAATATAATGTTCATGATATGTTTCTATGAATATGTTATTATAATCTATATCCAATTGCAAAAATGATCTCATTTTGTAGATTCACTCCGAGATATTGCTATTATATATCCTCAAATAAAAGAAGTTCGATACTGAACAATTCAATCAATTTATTTTGATTTAAGTAAAAGCAACACATAATAATTTGAAAAAAATATATGATAAATAAATGAATTGTTGAAAAATAAGAAATAGTAAAGAAGTAGGATGCATTAACTGTCTATTTAAAGTTAATTAACTGTACAAGTTGATAAAAAAATCGTTGAAATATACAATTTCATTAGTGACCGTTACAGTGCAAAATATGTTTCAAAGAAAAACCAAACAATAAGCAAAAGTAAAGACACGCTTAATATTACTTTAGGATAACTCTATTCATCGATATATTTTTGATTGAAAAGAAACAAATCTAAGTTGATATTCAATGAATCAATAAAAGATTACATTAACGACCGACATGCAGTAATTTTAGTACAACCATTTTTCATTTTATTTCGTTTCTCTATTTTGTCAAGTCCATGCATTAACCTGTGATTTCTTCTGTGAAAATCGACCTTGATTGATATTAGTTTTTCAGCTTAAAATAAAAAAATTCAATATTCTATATCTTATTATTATATTGATGAGTAACAATTATGCTGTGAGTGATGTAGTTCTTTTTTATACCTCTATTCTCAATTAATTTATTCATCGACAAACCATTATTCATATGAATTTTTGCTCTATTAGAAAAATTAAGCTGCTAATGATCATTTGTTCTTTCGTAAATTCAATGAGTAGAACTTTCATCTTGATTATATATATTTTGGTCAGATTCCATGAATCCGATTTTTTAATATACTGATGTATACTACTGAAATGTTCAATTATAATGAAATAATAAGAAATCTTTTTGCATTCGATGAATTTCTATATATAAATCGGAAATTTCTAACTTTGTTGTATTTAATGTGACATAGAAACAAAGGCTGCAAGGTTTACAGATAAATATTAATTAGTAAAAGTAATTTTATATCTTAAGAAATTTAGTTAGTTAGTTGTATTATATCTATATTGTTGTTGCTTTGTTAAAGGTCAACCAATTCTATCATACAGATTGATATCAACCGCACAAATAATGACAAATATGAAAATAGTTTACAATTACGTGTAAAATTTATCAAATCTTTACTAACGATGAGTTCATGCTCAAATCATACTTTTAACATGAATAAAAAATTTATTGCAAGTTCTATAGCAAAAAGATTGAATAATGATTTTTAAAATCTTTCACGTCACCAACATGACCAATGATTCTGATCATGAATTAATGTTTTTTTCAATAATCATGTAATCTCTTTTGTGAAACATAGATAAACACTGATTTTATCTAGTTTTATAGTTTGAGAGTGTGGGCGTGAATGCATATCAGGCCTAAAACTACACCCATACCCCTCATAAAAATTCTAGATCCACCACTACCTGTAAGTGTGAGACTTGTGAAACAAATCGGTGAAAATATTGCTAGTTATCAACAATATCTTCGAAGTTATTCAAAACAATCAGTGTATAATTGCGTTTCATCCCACGAATGTTATTTCGATGTACCACGATTACTTAACAATTTTGTCATGATTTGGACGACATGAGAAGTCTCTGACCATTTGAATGAAACACAAAATCTCATACCAGCCTTCATTCTAGCATGGTAGATAGTTTATTTTTAAACAAAGTGTGCATTAAATTAATCTTGCGAGTTTATTAGACCAATATCCCGTAGCAAGCGTCACCAGTACAAGTATCTGCTGGAAAGGTATTGGGCAGGATGAGTGTTTCTGTAGTCAAATCTAATGTTGTATTTTCGTGTCCAGGAAATGTTATTTGAATGAACATGCCATCCCAATAGCCGCTCGGTGGCACTGGTGCAGTGTACGAATAGGTAATTGACGTACTATTTTGTGTCTAGAAGAGAAAAAAGAATAATATGTCAATGACAATATGTATTGTTGTTGCCTCAATGGTGACAGGCATATTAAGCCAAATAACAGGATTCTGCACTATCTTTCCTGTGCTAGGGTCTATTTTTTTTTGTCGAAAATCACGCCTAGAAAAAGAAAGTTTCACTGAAAAGATATCACTTGTGTAAATATTCTACTTTGTGCCAGTAACTGATCGAGCTTGATAAGCTGTGACATTTATTGGCTTGGGTTGTCCAACACTAAAGTCGACAATTCCAAGAATCTGCCCATGGGTTTCATTAATGATTCGTGTCCATTTGAATGATGGTAGAATTTGTTTCTAAATTTTCCAACAGTCAATAATTGTCAAAACTCAAAGCGATACTGACTTACATCAGAAATACTCAGATAAAAACTTTGAAGACTTCCTTGATATCCCTGTATGTGATGTCCAGTATTTGGAATACGTCTATTGATATGACATTTGTTATATTCATTTTTTTCTTAACTATTCTCTTCTTACCGAAGATACGAACCACCCGTTTTCACTTGTAGATCATCCCAGAAATAGTCCTACGAGAATAGAGATATATCTCTTCAATTTAGATTACAATTACCTCACTATCTGGTAAAAAGAATTCATCGTTGGCCCCTTGCAGTTGAAATAATTTTACTTCAGCATATCGATCAAAGTATGCTTTAAAAAAGGCACAATTAAAACTAATTCATACGTTGCAGTGTTGCATTCGGTAACGGTAAACGGCTGGAATGGCCCGGTTTAGCCTAGAATTCCTTACCGACCGGTAGAAACGACGTTTTTCAGACCGACCAGTCGAGATTTTTTTCTTTTTTTTGTTTATTTTTGCATATTAAACTAGTTTTATTGATTTCCTTCATGGCGATTTCTATGGAAGAGCATGGAATATACTCTTTTGTACTATGTCAATATCCGTTAAAATATGCCTCATACATTTTATCAAGTCACTTCATTATCAAGTTCTATTGTGAGAACAAAAATGAAACCATGAGTCGTCATTGTAATTTATTACATATTTATTTCTAATTGACAAGAATTTACAAAGAATAACTTTCGCATAACCTTTGAGTAAGCTGAAGTGCGGAGTCTTTGCTGTTACTTTTTAACGACCTCTGTCATGTAAATCACAGACCATGCCGAGAGTGTAAGGCAGCATATCAGGAAAACTATCAAGTCTTTTTTGGCATTGAAATATCTGTTGATGGACTGAAAAAGCATCAACAGACAGCTAGGAAGACAGAACCAAGTTTCTCTTCATATCCTTCAATATGTGTTGATAATCATATTTCAGAAAAGCTCGTTAGTAGAGAAACAGAAGTCTTAAATAATTTGTGTAATGATTCACAAATGGATGCGACTCATATAAGAAGAGAAACGTCAACAATGACTCATGTCACTCTGCTGATCAGTCCGGTCTGACCGGTTTATACCGATACCAGTACGGATTGTAACACTGACACATTGAAGAGGATCTCACCATATGGATCAATGATGGCGGCCATTTTTTCGAAATAGGGATTATCAAGATATCGAGTAATGTTCGATACGTAATAATCATATAAGGCGAATGTCCATCCGGCCAATGACTTTAAATAGAATACTCAACTTTTTTTTTTGGTAAATAATGATATCTTCTGTAACTACCCGATAATGATGCATCATATTCTATGACAATAAATTGTTTTATTCGAGAAAATATTGATAACATTCTTTTCATTTACCTTCTGAAGATTCAAAATATCTAGGACAACAGGAACAGCAGCCGACACGCGCTGATTATTCACAGCAGCCGTTGTCCAAGCTATGATTATGAATTCTATTCATATGAAATGCAATATCTTACATACTTACTTGTCCATCCACGCTACAAAAATAAATATGAAAACTAGTCGAATCTAATTCTTTGGCAAAATCAGCTTACTTTAGAACCTCCAGCAATGACAAAGTTGTTGGGTACTGGAAATCCTTCTTGTTTTAACAACTGTTCGGCTGTATCCATGCCCCGTACTGCAGCCTATTATTTGTAGAACATGTACTATTTCATTTAAATAACTTGAAGAAACTAGTTGTATATTCCAATAGGACCTGACGTTTAGAATCAAAATCAGAAGAGATCTTTAGTTACAGAGCTGTATATCAAATATGATCTTATAATAGTGAAATATATGGTGGAAGAAACATTTGTTAAAAATACCCATCTAATATACCTTTGTCATGGGCAAACGAAGAAGAACATATGGATTTGTACCATTTTGTTCAATAAAGGTCATCCAAGTCCATGCTATTAATGCATCTTCTGTGCGAGATTTTTGTGCTGGATCAGCCTAGTATGAGTAAAATCTCTTGGAATTCAAATGGTTTCGATAGCAGATCCTACCATAAATCGAATCGGCTCATTAGGAATCTGTCTCAGTTCTACAGCAACACTGCCTGTACTCACACCAAAATCTGTTACAGAACTGCTGGTAGGTATTCTAATCAAAAATTAGAAAGCAAACACAAATGTATTCCTATTAATAATTAATAAGGCTTACGGATCCGTATTTAATCCTCCTTCGATCAACATAAAAGCGATATGTGAACGTCGAAGTATTCGTGGTACTGTAATGATCATATAGTGCCACCAGATAGATTGCGATGAGAAAGAAGCTACAAAGTAGAACTAATTTACTCATTTTTCAACACTCTTAGTGACTACTGTACCATCGAGCCATTGTTGGGACGTCATATTCAGTACATAGAGCGTATACGTGGGGAATGCATATGTTTGCAGGCGCTTCCAGCTAAAATGTGGATCGGGTGTATTGACATAGTCGTCAAGCGGTGTGGTCTTGCCTAAATTCAGTATCATGGCCAAGGCACAGCTCACTAAGTACAAGATTCGATACATTTTCAAGGTT